TTTAAAAATTTAAGGATTAAAATTCACATTTACCTTATTAAAAATAGGAACAAGTGGCCCATATACGTCATCCCGTGTCAAATATAATAATATCATTAATAATGGTAACAAGAAGCGTACATACGTGGAAGCTCGTGCCTCGTGGCGCGTAAGAAGCCGACAACTCTACATCTCTCTTCCGGTTTCCTCACCTGACCGTGCCTGCGCCCGTGCCTCTCCCTGTTCCTGTTTGTTTCTGCGGGTGCTAATTCAACTTATCATCAGATAACACTCGAAGGATCTCTCTCTTCCTGCGCTCTCGTGATTCGAGGATTACTGTGACTCCAACCGACGGACGGTGTCAATGGGAGACCGGCGTGGAGGATGCTGTCCGCCGATGGATCTGCTCCGGTCGGAGCCTATGCAATTGGTACAACTTATCATCCCTATCGAGTCCGCTCACCTCACCGTCTCTTATCTCGGCGACCTCGGCCTCCTCCAATTCAAAGACGTTCGTGCTCCTCAATCTCTATTTCTACTGCGATATACTTCGATGCTAATTGCTGAATTGAATTGTGTTTCTGATATCACTGTGTTCCAATTCTGAATTTCGAGTATAACTTCGGTCTGGTAACTCTTTGTCGAGTAGAGTTAGTCCTGATTGTGGTTGAGAAGCCCTAGAGTTGTGTTGTATTTTCGATAGGATATTGATTTGCAGAGATCGCGTTTTCGATTTATTTTCTGTTCTATTGTCTTAGGATGAGGTGCTGTTAGGTTACCGATCCTCTAGGTTTTCCTTTTTCTTCTTTTATTTGAATTTGTCAAAATAATGTTTGAAAGATATTAAGCTTTATGTTTTTCTGATTGATATGATTGAAAGTTGTCTGAGATTGGATGATGGAATGTGACTAACTTTTGTGGTCTTTGATGTCTTTCAGCTTAATGCAGAGAGGAGTCCATTTCAGCGAACTTATGCTACTCAGGTACATTAATCCCGGCTTTTGTGATATTGACTTTATATTTTTTGACATTCAATGTCTTTTACTCTGCTTGCCTTGGAAAGGGGTAGGGTTATGGCCACCACATAAAATGTTAAGGCCACCTATTTTTCAATTTATTTCTTAAACAGTATCTGAAAATATCAGTTTGATGACTAATTTTAATGTGTTAACTAATAAAGATCGACTATTATATCAGTTATTAGTTAACAATTACAATTATTAGTCATTTTTATCAATCAAATTAACCAGAATCAGTATTTTTAAAGACAGTTTTTAGCAATTTTTGGTGGCCTTAACATTATGAGTGGTGGCCATAACCACACCCCTTGGAAAGGAGGGTAATAAAATTTAGATGCAGTCCTGTTGTAGAAGATCTAATTTTCTCCAATGCCTGAAGCAATAGATTAAGAACAATTTGATGGTTCACAATTTTTCGGTTTTCCCATGCATGTAGATGGTTCCATTGCTTTCTTGTGTTTAAATATGAGTAACTCTAGGGCCAGTTTATATGAACTTGTACCTGAAATGTTTCAATCAAGTGCTAGAAGAGTTAACTTAGCTTGACAGAATCTCAAAATTTAATGAATTGTTTTATTGACAATGAATGTTCTACGTGGAAGAGGTGTGATCTTTCCTCTCTTCTTCATTTTTTTTTTTTTCTATTTTTGGCGCTACTCAAGAAGTTATTTTAGATTGTTCTTATGACATAATCTGCCTCTCTTTTTTTTCTTTTTTCTTTTTTTGTTTAATATTGTGCCACACACTGATGCATCTTTCTCTTGAAGATTAAAAAATGCGGGGAAATGCAACGCAAACTGCATTTCTTCAAGGAGCAAATGTTGAAAGCAGGTTTTTCTCCTTCGATGAAGCCTGTGATTCAAAATGAGATCGATGTGGACAACTTAGAGGTACATTTATTGGTTGCCTCATCCTAGAAAGCTTCTTCCATTTGTTTTTCAGCTTATTTTCTTTATTTCATATTTGTTAGATAAAACTTGGAGAACTTGAAGCAGAGCTAACTGAAATGAACGCAAATGGTGAGAAGTTGCAGCGGAGTTATAATGAGTTAGTTGAATATAAGCTTATTTTGCAGAAGGTATGGTTCTGTTTACTGTCAGAGGTGTCTCTTTGCATTAGTTCTTGCAAACATGTCATACTATCTTCATTGGCCAAAATGGAACATTATATATTCTGATGTACTTGCTAAATCCCATGCTGATACTAAATATGGACGAATGTAAGTTAAGAGGGACTGGAACTTTTCCCTATTAAGGCATGGTGGAAAAAGTGAGATAGATACTTTTTATTGTGGACTTGATAGGATAAGGAAAAAAAAAAAAAGGCAATATAATTATTTGTTCATATCATACTTGTTTGTATTTTATATGTGGTCATATACATTCAAAATTTATTTGTTCATGACTTCATGTAGATCTATTAGAGTACCTTTTTTATGTTAGCATTTGACAGGCATTTATAAATAGCATGGTTATATACCTATCTATATAGATGTGTTCATATGCCTCAGGAAGTCTTTAGATCACCTACTTAGTGTGCTTTTTGTTTCTTTAAAAATGTCCTAAATAAAGCTGGATCAAAATATTGAATTTGTTCTTATTTGTTTTCTAAACATATAACTAATCTCATCATATATCATATCTTCTCAATTGGGTACAGATCTCCTTGTCAACTCTTCATTTCATTAAAACTTTTAATTTTTAACTATCAGGGTAACAAGATTCTATTCCATTTGTTCTAGGCTGGTGAGTTTTTTGCTTCAGCTCAACACAGTGCCACAGCTCAGCAGAGAGAAATGGAATCATACCAATTGGGTGAAGAATCCATTGAAACTCCACTATTAAAGGATCAGGTATACTACAATATTTCTTTCAATTCACGAACTGTCAGCTATAGCATCAGTTTTTTACTCATAATAATCTTCTCTCTGTGTTGTAGGATACCCTTACTGATCAATCAAAGCAAGTAAAGTTAGGGTTTATCACTGGCCTTGTTCCTAGGGAAAAATCTATGGCATTTGAGAGGATTCTATTTCGTGCAACCCGGGGTAATGTGTTTCTTAAGCAGTCTCCTGTGGATGAACCTGTTATTGATCCTGTGTCTGGAGAGAAGGTATAATTTTCTCCCAACTGTTTAAATATTTCTAGGAAGAAGATGCATGGCAGTTATATATTTGAAATAGCATTCTTTTTCACATCATGATATGGGGCCTAAAATCCCCTCCAAAATGTCATATGGAAATTTAAACTGAGTATTAATCTTAAGGTATGACTGCTGGCATGATTGTGTGCCTGGTGTGGGTTGACTCCTATTGTTCTTGGGTCTTTGATTTGTCATATGGTCCATCATGGCCATGCTTCTGTTAGTTGTTTATGCACCTCAATTTTATGAATTTTATGATGCTTTCTTTTAAAAGTCTTTGACAATGTGCAGATGGAGAAAAATGTATTTGTGGTATTCCACTCTGGCGAAAGAGCAAAGAACAAAATTCTGAAGATATGTGAAGCTTTTGGGGCAAACCGGTATCCTTTTGCAGAGGAATTGGGCAAACAGGCTCAGATGATCATGGAGGCATGCATTCCATTCTTGTTTGAAATTATTCTCATTTCTCTCTTATGCTTCTGCAAGGCTTAGCAGACTATATTGCTTGATTGTTTGTTGGTGTTGCTCAGCACATTTTCAGATAGGCATTTGAATTTTACATGCTTCATTTTCATTCTTGATTAGGAAATTTCTGCCTCCTCTAGAACTTCATATTCATATGAGTCCTAATTATGTGCTTTTATATGTATTTTATATTTTACCTATCCTGATTGCCATGTATCCCACATCAAACCATGTGTTATTACAATCTATTCATGTATGTTGATCTGTAAGGACTGAACCTTATTTACCTGACTTTAATGTCTCTGACAAAAAATTTCAGGTTTCTGGAAGAATTTTAGAGCTGAAAACAACTCTAGATGCTGGGTTGGTCCACCGTGAAAATCTGTTGCGTACTATTGGTGACCAATTTGAGCAATGGAATCTTAAGGTTAGTTGCACCTTGAAAATTATCTTATTTGGTAACTAATTTTTGGATTCCACTATTCCAGTGAATCATATGTTATCACTTGTTAGTTTCACCTGTCTTTAAGATGCAGATGATTCAATTTATTTTGTTTACATATTCAGTTAGTAATCTGTATCTTTTTCACCACCTGAAGGTGAGGAAGGACAAATCCATCTATCACACTCTTAACATGCTTAGTCTTGATGTGACAAAAAAATGTCTAGTAGCTGAAGGATGGAGTCCCGTTTTTGCCTCAAAACAGGTATGTTTTTCCCCTTTTGCCAGTTACTTCAAGTTGGAGCTAGTTTATTGTTGGACCTTGCTTCAAAGTTTTAAATAGGTATTAGTTTATTGTGGTTTTCATGCCATTGATGATCTCCTAGTAAAAAATTGGATCTCATAATTTCTCAACAAAATTGTACTTGGTTGTTGCAGATTCAGGATGCATTGGAGCGGGCTGCACGTGACTCCAATTCACAAGTTGGATCAATTTTCCAGGTTTTGCACACAAAGGAGCCACCACCCACCTACTTCCGCACTAACAAATTCACATCTGCTTTTCAGGAAATTGTTGATGCATATGGGTAGGTCCCAATGAGATTGTTATCACTGATATTTTAATTCAAATGTGTGTCTCAAGTTTAATTGCAAAGGAAAAAAAAAAAACTAATTGATTAAAAGTTGTCTAATTTCATGTTCTACTGTTGTATTTTATGAAGAACTTTGTGTTGTATGATATAGGGTTTATGTGCATATCTTTAGGTAATTTGTTCAAATCTTCTTATCAGATACTAGATCGATTCTTCACTTTCTTTTTCAGATCTTCAAACCTACAATTTAATCTTCAAACTAGTATTATAAGTTATAATTATACTTGGGAAATATAGTAATTCAACCAATAACTTCAAATACAATTCATTCTGAAGGAGGAAAAAAAATAAGAAGAGAAAGAATACCTTGTATGCATTATTACTTTTTTTATTAATGTGAACCAACTAGTGATATATACATTTGTAAGTTACCCTACTCTGTCTAACCTTCCTGTTTGTTTGTCCCTTTTTCTAGTAATTAAGTGTAGTAAAATGCTTTATGTGTAATTGCAGGGTGGCAAGGTATCAGGAAGCAAATCCTGGTGTATTCACTATTGTTACATTCCCTTTCCTCTTTGCTGTCATGTTTGGTGATTGGGGGCATGGAATATGCTTGTTGCTTGCGACATTATTTTTTATAGTCAGGGAAAAGAAACTTTCTCGTCAGGTAATCTCCTTCTAGCAATGAAACGATGTTGCAGGTGATATGTTATTATGTTTTGATATACAAAGTTATTTGAGATTATATGTGTTCATGGATTTTCTTTGTTCTTGCTTTGTAGGTGTAAATTTAGCTTAGCATGCCTTTTATAGTTTTATATTTGGGTAATGTTCTCTCAATTAGAACCAGATGGCACATTGTTGCTTGGTTCAGCTTAGGTGATTTAGGTAGCAAATAATGCAACAAATTTAATCCATATTTGTAATGTGGTTAATATATTGTAATTTTTATGAATAACTAAATCTTATTTACTGGCAATCTTTTGAGATGAAATTCATGGTGTGTCTCCCAACAATTAGATGTCTCTTTGAGGTGCATCAACCTATCTATTACTAAGATTTGTCCCAAAAAGAGAGATTAGCATGTAAAACTTAAAAATATAACTTCCAAGGATCTATTTTTTAAATACATCTGGTGAAGAAATTCATTGTACCCCATGACTTGAGACAATATACTTTAATGTTGAAGTTGTGTCAGTGTACAAGAAATAGGAATTCTTGCTATCTGCAAATTATGGACTTTATTGGGTGGATAGATAAACCAGACCTATGGAAGAAAATTATGGTTGACTAAAAAAAAAAAAAAAAAAAAAAAAAATTGTTTCTCTTTGTCTTTTAAATATTTATTTCTCTTTTCATTGACATGGGCTTTAGACATGAGGATATTAAATTTATTATACTTTAATCATCCAGTTTAATGATTGTGTTAAATTCCAGATAACAGAGTTTTAGTGCTTAATTCATTTTGTCACCATACTCTTTGAATCGGATTTGCCATGTCTTATGGATGGTTGATCTCAATAAAGTCTGAGATGTGTACAGTGAATGGTAACATGATATATACATTTCAAATTTATTGTTAGAAAGTATTGCTTTCCAGCTTCTGGTTTGATGGATTACCTTTACAAAATGGAATTATTTACAAAATAGGAAATTCCATTTTGTAGTCTTTCTCGTTGTATTTTTTATTCCTAATTTTCATTTTTCTTTAATTGAGAGATAATTCTTGGAAACTGCAGAAGCTTGGAGATATCACAGAAATGGCCTTTGGTGGTCGTTATGTTATTCTGTTGATGGCACTTTTCTCAATTTTTACTGGTTTGATCTATAATGAGTTCTTCTCAGTGCCACTTGAATTATTTGGTCCCACAGCATATGCATGCCGGGATCTCTCTTGCAGGTATTTAGAGTTGGGATATGTACTATTGTGCAAGATTCCCTTTTGCAGTATTTGCTTTTTATGACAGTTGCTACCCATTGTATTGCAGGGATGCTTCTACCATTGGTTTGATTAAGGTGCGTGACACTTATCCATTTGGTGTCGATCCTGCATGGCATGGTACTCGGAGTGAGCTGCCATTTCTGAATTCTCTGAAGATGAAGATGTCAATCCTTCTTGGGGTGGCTCAAATGAACCTTGGAATTATTTTAAGTTATTTCAATGCGACATTCTTCAGGAATAATATCAACGTCTGGTAAGTTTGATATGCTAATTCAGAACTGAGCTTCATGTGTTTTTCAGTTCTGTCAAATTTATCTCTAACAAGTTAGCCTTTTATCGAGCTTTTCTCCAGGTTTCAGTTTATTCCTCAGATGATATTTCTAAACAGTCTGTTTGGTTATCTCTCACTACTCATCATTGTGAAGTGGTGCACTGGTTCACAAGCTGATTTATACCACATATTGATATACATGTTCCTGAGTCCTACTGACGATTTGGGTGAAAATCAGCTTTTTCCATACCAAAAGATAGTACAGGTTTTGCTCTTTTTTCCATAGTTTTTAAATTGATGCATATTAGATGTGTGCATCCCCTTCTTTAATCTTTGTTCATGCTTTTGCAGATTGTGCTTCTGTTACTGGCCCTTGTTTCTGTACCGTGGATGTTGCTACCAAAGCCTTTTCTACTGAAAAAACAACATGAAGCGGTATGCCATCCTGCTCTTGCTATTTATGATTGTGTTTTAAGCATAACTTTTGTTCCTCTTTCTTCTATTTCTAATGAATGTATTTCTTTAGAGGCACCAAGGCCAAATATATACTCCACTTCGGAACACAGAAGAGAGTCTTCAAGTGGAGGCGAATCATGATTCTCATGGTCATGAGGAATTCGAGTTCAGTGAAGTTTTTGTGCATCAACTCATACACACCATAGAGTTTGTGCTTGGAGCTGTTTCAAACACAGCTTCATACCTTAGATTGTGGGCTCTCAGGTTTGTTGATAGATATCAGTCTGCTTGACTTCACCTCTGTCCTGGTTCACAAATGACAACAATCTTTCATCATATAACTTTTTCAAAAAGGTCATGAAGACAGTTTTATTTTCTTCTTATTATGAGCAACCAGAGACAGCTTTCTTCAAACCTATCTGTTTTATTTCCATTGCAAGTACACTGCACACCATCACATGTTACACACAATAGTCTGTCGTCATTTACCTTCTTTACAGTCCCAGTTGTATAATTTTCTTCTATCCTTAATTAGTAAAGGTTAACCAGTTGCACTTGTTTCCTTTTACTTTCTGCAGCCTTGCTCATTCAGAGTTGTCAAGTGTGTTCTACGAGAAGGTCCTCCTCCTTGCTTGGGGGTATGTTTTATACATTTTACCTTCACTCTTATTTACTCAATTAAAGTGTGTTTCCTGGACTTGGGAAGGGCAAAGGGGAAAAAAAATGAAAGGAGAGGATAAAAAGAAGAGCATAATGGCAGAATATATGACATCAAATCTTAACACTTGTGATTCTGATAACTTGGAGTTCCATTTATGATTCTATTCTTCCAATGATATCTACTGTAAGTCATAGATCCAACTTATGGGGCAGTTATATCCATAAAATGACATGAGTTTGCTGCTTCCCACAGGTTTAACAATGTAATTATCCTTATAGTTGGTATCATTGTCTTCATTTGCGCAACTGTTGGAGTGTTGCTGGTAATGGAAACCCTCAGTGCTTTCCTACATGCTCTACGTCTTCACTGGGTTGAATTCCAAAACAAATTCTATGAGGGAGACGGTTACAAGTTCTATCCATTTTCATTTGCATTACGTGATGATGAAATTGAATGATGCACTGAATTGAATGGTTTTAGTTGACATATCGAATGTGGTTAGAGGTGTTGTGTTGCATATTTTCCTTTGAATGAGAGGAGAAGGCCACCAGAATGGGTCCTGTGAAGGAGACTTGAGGTTGATTTAATTAGTTGGTATCTCTTCTGGTGGTTTGTCATTGGAAGGTATGAGCAATTTATTGGTTTGGGCTGTGCCTCTTGTATGTGGTAGCAGTTATGTAATAGAACTTGTTTAATTGATTAAACTTCCTTTTTTATTGGAAATTAAAAATAATATCATGAACTTACTGCAGATTCTTTCGGTAAATTAACTTACTGCTGTTGGGTTTCTTGCTTTCTGCTCTTTATTTTCTGTCACCATTTCCGGAGTGAGATGATGAAGCTGATTGTTACGTTTACTGCAGCTGTCTTGTTATGATAAACCACATGCAGGGAATGGATTTTAAATGGCGACCTTAAACAATGATTACTTTTTGACGATTTTAGACCGTGTAGCGATGTAGCGTTTAAATTATGGGCCTCGTTTCTTTGATCCAGCCCAAGCTATTTTCTTTAATTGACCCCGAAGACTGGGCTAAATTCTGTTTGGATGGTGGACTAGAAATTAGGCATCGTAGTCCATAAAGATTGGGCCCATTCCTTAAAATGAAACCTAATAAGGCTGAGAACATTGGGTCTCATCCCTGGAACAAGCCCAATACAGCCCAAAATTATTTCTCATTTCCTCATTAAGCTCACTGAATGGCCCATAAACTTCCCCAGAGAAGCCCATTTCTTCCTAATGGACTGGGCTCACTCTTTACAAGCCCAACACAGCCCAAAAGATCATCTCGTTTCTTAATTAGGCACAGTATGCCCAAAAGATTGTGGTTACTGGTTAATTCTAGGACTTATTTCATAACAAAACCCAAGCTATTCTCTACTATACTAATACCGGTTCAGGCCATAAACCGAGTTATTTCTCATGTAGCCCCAACATATTTAAAGTAACTTTTATTTTTTCTTTTCATACATCAGACAAATAACCCCAAAATAGAATTAAAAAAAAAAAAATTTGTGTTTGTAGTAAGAAAACTAATACTTACGAGAAGCATCAAATAAACTTGTACTTCAAGTTCAAGATACAGAATCATTTAAAACTGTTTTTAACACTTGCCCAGAAAGTGAGAAATCCTAAGTCCCAACCTTTCATGTTCTGGGAAGAGTATCACAGGTGAATGTCAATACCACAAATTACCATTATAATCAACACCATGCTTTATATACAAAAATCTAGGATAAATAGCAACAATTATGAGATCACACCCTATTTTGAGTAGTACTGACAGCAGCAACTGTGGATACCATGGAGTCTACACCACAAATATTGCGACCTCTGCAGATTTTGTAGAATCCACTCTCCCCCCAGTTTTCTCCCCATGAGTTCTTGATGATCCAGTATGGCTTGTCCTTCATTCTGACAGGAGCA